AAAATAGTTAAAATCAAGTAGATCTTTAAACATATGAAAATCTTGAAAATAGACGGTTTAGATAACGTGTTGCAAGATGCTCTATTTCTGGAACTCAAAATCATTTTTCTTTCATATTCATACATTTCCATATTGAGATGATCAAATAGAGGGTTTTTCAACATTAAAACTACCTTTTTCCATAGATTTTTGAGGTGCATCTGTAATTCTACATTTTAAGGTTGTAACCTTAAATAAACTTTTTCCTTTTCTTTTTGGAACCCACCTCCCAAATAAAGAAATTACTTTTTAAAGTCAAAATACCCCTTGTATAACTCAAGTTTCTCTCTCTTGTCCAAAGATCTCATGTAGTTTCTGTCTTTAGCCCGGTGCAGTCTTGACGATTCATCCGGATGGGTAGGTTTTAAAACACTAGTATGATGTATCAGTTTCTTTAAACATTGATTTGTCATGTATTTTAACATAAAACACAAGTAAGATGTATCGGGTTCTTTTAAAATTAAATTTGCATGTCTTTTTTTATAAAGGACACGGTTTCTATGAGTCCATATAGAAATGAATCGCTTTTTAAAAAATTTATTTTTGAGATGGATTTTTTGACCTAAATTTTAAGCGCATGTAATCTCTAACATGGAAATCATGAATATGAAAAATTAAATAAATTTTGAAGATAAAAAATAATATTTCGACAAATGTAATTATGCACTCCCTACCGCATGAAACGACTTTCCTTCTCTAAATACCCCACCTTTTGGAAATAGCAAAAACTTGGGCAACGCTCCAGCATGTTAACCAGGGAGAAAACGAAAGGAGGAAAATTTGGTTTCCCATTTCAGCCTTTGACAAGGAAATTAAGATTTTCTGTGGAGGAGCCATCACTCTCTAGCTTTTATTCGCATTTTTTTGTGCAATTTAAATCCTTTTCTCACAAAATGGACCACTGGAAAGAGAGGACAACAATCCTTAGCGATCATGTTTCCCAGGGGTTTGTCTTCAGAGACATAGTAATGTGATTGTTACATAAATTTATGAAGTGCCCAATATCCTTCTGCTTACTAATAAAAAACCAATACTATTTTCTTCATGAAATTAGTCAAAATTGGGGTGTTTCTAATTGACTTCCCTCATTAAATTTTTCCTCTTTAAAGCACAGATAAGACCAAAATGTGTAATTATCGATAATGACTTGCTCACTAATTTCCCATTTGTTTTGCACAGTATGCAAATCCACTGCTCAGGGACGGGACTCGGCCCATCCCCGAACCGAGTTAACTCGGCCCGAGTCTAGGCAAACTAAAACGTGTTACAAAAAGAGAAAAATTCTCAAAAATTGGAAAAATATATTTAAACTAAAACTAAACGAAACAAATATAAATGAGGTTAAAAAAATAGTGAAAAATGGATTGTAAAAAAAATCATTTTGTGTTGAGGGTATTTTAGAAATAATCTAAAAAGAAGGGAAAAATGTAAAAAATAAGTATTTATGATCAAAACACTATTCAATCTTTGCTCAAATAATAGAAAACATTAAAAAAATATTACAAATAGTTTTTTTATTTTTTATATATATATTTTTGAATTATTTTTAAGATCCTCAAGTGGAACCATCCGACTCAAGGAAACTCGGACTGCCAGGGAGGTAAGCTGAGTTACTCGTTCCGAGTTGGCTCGGGTGTGAGAAAAGATAAGGTCAAGCTCGTAAATAATTTATGTACATTGCTTACAAGTACATGCCAAGATTAATGGGATAGGTGTCTCCCCACCAAACCCATCAAATATAATTAAGACTACCCTCCTAAAAGGCCTTAAGAAAGCCCTTCTTTTACGCTTGGTATGTAAGTGACCACAATATAAGCTATTTAATCGTACCTTAAATTCGAAATATAAATCATATAATTGCTCCTCTCACCCTAACCGTCAGATCATGTAGTGGGCGGTGACTTTCCATGAAGGCACATTTTCTCATGAAGAATCTAGGCCCTCAAAATTAGCTTGCTTCTTTAAATATGGTAGAAAGGTTATTCATAACTATTGAAGTCTTGAGCATGTTTTGTGTGTCTTCTTCATTTAGATGCAATTCATATTGGCCGTTGGATGTCAGGTTTAAGGAGGTTACTTTAATTGAGGAATTATGGCTTCCACCTTAGAAACCAAGGCATCCATTTACGGTAGTTAGAAAGTAAATAAGAAAGTTAAAGGCATGGCTAAAGGCCTTTAGCCAAGCTCAAGCTTTTGGTCACAAGATACTTTCTCTCTCTCTCTCTCGCTAACCGACCAACCCATAATTGTTCGGGAAAGGTTTTTATATTTCTCCTACTGTATAGAAGACATATATTCCTTCTAATCTAGCTGTCCGGTTTAGATTAAATGAGCTACTGGCCGTTTGATTTAGATTCGATACTTCAAAATATTTTATTTTTAATTTTTTATGCAAATTATATGAATATAAAATATGATACTTGCCATCATCTCAATGGGGTGCTCTTAAAACAAATATTTAAAAAATATTTTTGATAAAATACGAAGACAAAAATACAAAAACTTTTAAGGCCATTTTGTTATTTTATTTTATTGAGAATATTTGTTTCGTATGTTTTACCTTTGATATTTTAAGAGAGGGGTAGACTCTCAAAATTTGATGTCAAAATGTTTTGTAAACAAATATTAAAAATAAAATAGTTTAGATGCATGATATTATGATTGAGACCATCTCAACCATTTATTCAAAATAGACGGTTGGATACGGGGAATATATATAAATTTCATACAGTATGAGTGTATAAAGAACTTGCCCCTCTCTCTAACCAACTAATATGTGTCAAACAAAAATCACAATCTAAATTGTATAAATTCCATCATGAGACCCGTCTTGGATTTGAAAAAATAGGGCATGGGCCACAAACTGTGACAAGGGGAATGAGCTAAGGGCCAGTGCAGGCCTGGACAGGCCCAGCACCACTCTATACGGGAAGGGGCCGGGCCAGGGCGAGGCCCAAGCTGTCCCGTTACTAGCCCTAAGTTTGGGCAAGGTTGTATTAAGTTTAACGACAACAAAAATGGCAAACAAGGGGAAATCTCTCTTGTTAATGTTAGGGGTATTTACGTCATTTATTGGCAAGACAAAAACAGCCGAGCCGATGTGGGCATGGCTTGTAGTTAAAGCTTTAGGTTGGGAAGGCCACGTGGCATAAAATGATTGGTGGAAGCCAACCACTCGGCTAGAGGGCGAGCTCGTGATCTCGATAAATATAAAGCCGGGACTTGGATCACAGAGTTGGGGAGTTATTGGACACATCAAGTTTTTGACGCTCTCTTTTTCGCTTTTAGTTTTTTGTTTTTTCTTTTTCTTTGATTTATTGCAGTCGTCACCGTCAAATTCTCGACACTTGAACCGTCAACTCAAGGGTAGGTTGAAGGTCTTATGACGCCCTGATTTTCCAATTGTTATATGTACTCCTCACCCAATCTTCAACTCTGTTTTACTTCACCGTTTTTTTGGGCTGTTACGTTATTATTGTTAGTATTTTTCGCGCAATGCTGATTGCATTTCGTTTTTAGTTTGTGTTAGAATATGTTCTTATTTTCAATGATGAATGAATTGAAATTTCCTCCATTTTTTTCAACTAAATTATATGCAAATGCTGTTATTTAACGTGTTTTCAGTCTAGTTTTTTTATTTTTTCTACAGCGCATCGTTATTTGTGAAATTGCATTTTTTTTTTTTTTTGTGTGTTGATATTATTGTTGTGATTTTTTTGATGTTTCATATTCTATTGCCATTTTGATCATTCTTGAATATTTCTTTCTTTTACACTATTTCAAACATAATTTAACTATCTTTCTGTCTGAAGAAATTCAGATTTCATAGAATTTGAAAAAGCATTTTGACTTTGTTTGCATGTTTCTAATTATTCGAATATAGTGGCTCATTACATATGCAACTCAGCAGCGAAATATGTGATACCAAATTTCTCGAAATACAAAGATGAAACTTTCGCAATTTGCCGGGTTCCAGAATAAAATCGGCGAGTAATGCTTGAAGATAAGGTAAGACAAAAATGTTATCTATTTCCTTCATTTCTGTTCTCTAATTGTTGCGCTCAGCCTGTTAATATTATTCTTATTTCTTGCTAAATTCTTGTGTTTTATTAATTTCGACGATTTTGGGTCTAAATTTTTTGAATTTCACCTTTTCTTGGTCAAACATTCACATTACAATTTGCAGAGTCTTGTTGTGAAAAATCACAACTTAACTTCGCTGCACTGAGGAATTTTCATAATAATTATTGGAATGTTCGTTATTTTTATTTAGAAAAATAACAAAATTTATTTTGTTGTGTTAAGGGGTTCGTGTAGGATGGGAAAGAAATTTAGCTGGCTGAGGAAAGTCTTCAAATCTTCCTCAAAGGAATACGAAAAGAAGGTAAAAACTCCCCACTGCTTTTAATTTTATTTATTTGTTTTAAATTTTGTTTTTGGAGAGCGAGAGGGAGCAAAACACTCATGTAATCAGGGTGTTCACAAATTAAGAACAAAGATAGATTTGCAATAAGTGGGGGTGATTCGGATCTGTGAGAGTTGGGAAGTATTACTGCAATTGGAGTATCAAGGCAATCCTTTTTTTCTATTATGTTTACTCCTTGCCTTTCTTACTTAGGCTCTAACTACCTTCAAAGTTAAGATCTTTAAAGTTAGGCTCTAACTACCTTCAAAGTTAAGACCTTCAAAGTGTGTCAGCATGCCGATAAGAGCGTCAATCTGAAAGATATGTCCATACAATTATTATTCAATATATATGTTATAATTTTTTTATAACATATTTACGAGTCGTATAAATACAGGTGGCAACGGACCCGTACCCGACCGGGTATGGGTTTGAGAATTGGACCCGATGTGTCGGGTCTGGGTTCATCTGGACCTGGTCTAGATCCGAATCAAATAGTGTTGATGATGAATTAAATATTTAATATAGAATTGTTTAATAATAATTAATTATTATTTAAATAAATATAATTATATATCTTTAGTTATAATAATTAAATAATATATGTTTATATTTAACATAATACTTAAATATATTTAAATAAATATATATTTTTATTTTGGATCGGGTTGCTTGGGTCGGGTTTGGGTCTGGGTCTAGGTTCGGGTCCGGGTCCGGGTCTGTTGCCCCCCTAGGTAGAATAAATAATGGTTAGCTAAAATGACTTCATTTCAAATCAATTTTTTCTACTTTTTGGAGAAATTGATCAAAATGCACCTAAGAATGATCTATTTGACGTTTTACCATTTTTATTTAATTTTAAAAATCCGATAATAATATTATCCGGAATTGGAATAGTTGAAATATATAAATATTTAATAGTTACATTTGAGTTGTATTTTGATAGATTTTCCTATCTTAACGTATCGAATTGTTCTGAAGTGTTTACACGTGACACTAAACCAAAAGAGTTTGGGTAAACACTCCCTGCAAATTACCAACATCGAAGCACGCTCGAGGCCATTGATATGGAATATTGGTGAAGGATTCATAGTTTGTTCCTCGTGCTATTCATGTCAACATATCTAGATACAAAATATTACCATTAAAATCTGTTCTGTAAATTTTGTTATGGTAAAGTATACAAAGACCATTTACTTTAAGTATAAGAGGTTACAATCACTCTTTTATCTGTCATATTTTAAATCGGATAGTCGTAAGTGTGTCTTTGATTAGACTCTAAGTCGAAAGAAATATTTCTTAAGTGTCGTGATACACCTCAAGCCATCCAATTGATAATTTAATGGATATAAGTACTTGTGATAAAAATAAATGGTGTCATAGCATACAACCCCTTTAATTATTCATAATAAATGGCTGAATTAGTGTAAAATTCACTTAAAAAACTTATGCAAGTTTCATGTCAAAGAACTATGAAAAGGTTCTTATATGGTTAGAAAATATATAAAGCCCTCCAACAATAAAATTTAGTTGTAGCCTAATTAATATAAACCATATTTCCGGTGCCATCTAAATTGCAAGAACGGCGTATATAATGACTAAGTGAAGCTTTATTCTAGCGTTGGAACCACTCTTGAAAAATTGGTAAATCTAACCACTAACCGCCTGGTTAGATCGGAACTGGTCGGTTATGGTTTTGGGCAGTTCTGGTGATTGACTCGTACTTTAAAAAAAAAAAAATGTACATAATTTCTAAAAAATAAGGAATTTGGGCTGTAATGTATTGTTTTAATATTCTTTACATTATGGTAAAAATTAAAAATTGCTTTGGTCATTAATACTCACTTTAATTAAAAAATCGATTCGTTAAAAAACTATTTTTTTCATTAATTTCAATTTCATTTGAATGTGTTTTGTTTTAATAGTTATTTACCTACTTTTCATATTTTTAGTAGTCTATTTTATTTTATTTTTTTTTTCGACACTTTTTTGACTGTCCAATTAAAACGGTTGAATTGACCGATTTATTGGTTAGGCTGGTTAAACCGCTTTTGAACCCATATTCGGTTAACCATTTCTGTTCGATTTTGCGAACACTAGTTGGAACAACCTTTTTGGTGTGTTTTTGAGATGCACTTTACTTTTATAGCATTGTAACAACATTTTTCAGTGAATTTTTGAGGTGCACCTTAGTTTAAAATTTCCCTAAATTGAACCCTCACGAATAAAATTATGTACTAAGAGAGAAAAAAAAGCAAATATGTACAATAATGGTTCGTCAAGGAAAGCTTGCGTATCATATATGATGAAAAGTACGTAGGTGAATTCATAGCAAACAAAACAAATCAACCCGTACAAGTAAAATTAAATTGGTCGACACAAATTAGGTAAGATACACCTACCAGAAATGTACTGAGGATCGGAAGATTTTAATAGATTATTTTGTACACCCTATAACAAGTATTGATTCAATGGCTTCGAAAATCTATTGAAATTACCAACTGCTTTCTAAAGTAGAATAATAACAATAACTTGAAAATATGTTACATTTTGGCCTAGTTCACTAAACGACCCCATCCTATCTCCACCTCATATGTTATATTTTGGCCTAGGGTTTTACAATGACCTGAAAATAGGAAAACAAGATGTAATGATCTAGGGGTGGCAATGGGTTAGGCGGCGTGGCCCTATAAAATAATGGCTTGGGCCATAAGATGTAGCTCGAGGGCTAGGCTAGGCCCGGGGAGGGCCAGGGCCACAACAAGGCTGGCCTGGTTCGGCCCCGACCCGATGCTTTCTTTTTATTTGTTTTTCTATTTTTTCCCCATAGATTACATTGGCCCTGCCTTGGCCCTAAAATGCCTAAGGCTAGAGCCTCTTAGGCCCTGTCAAAGCTGAACCGGGCCAGGTCCTAGGACTGGCCTGGCCCATTGATGGTCCTACTCAATCCTAAGGACTATAAATGAGCCATAGTGTTTAAGACCACTGCTAAAATGTTGGGCAGTATTGAAGAAAGGGCGGGCCACCAGAACAAAACATGATCCAGTGGTGGGTCATAATCTCTCTCCATCCCTTCCTTTGAGCATTGGTGGCCCCAAGGACTATGGTTTTTGCATGGTCTTTAAGATGATAAGACACTTTCCCCGGAAAAAATAAAGCATCAGAATGATCCCTACTTCCCTCCTGAAAGGAAGGGATGGAGAGAGAATATGATCTTTAGGTACCTAATTCACTTGCAATACACACTGAATTAGGTACGCTCATTTAATTTATTTGATGAAAGCTTCCAGTTGCTTCATGATTTCTTCAGTTAAGGCGGAAATGGTATGTACATTGCAGAAAGACAAAACTGAGAAATGGAAAGCAGGCACAGTAGAGACTGCAGCGGAGGAGAGCTTTTCTATGGATGTCTCAACCGACAAGAACCCAGAGGAGAGTGTGGCCTCATCACCAGAGGATGAAAGAAACCATGCAATCGCTGTTGCCATGGCCACGGCAGCTGCTGCGGAGGCCGCCGTTGCTGCCGCACAGGCCGCGGCCAAAGTGGTGCGGCTTGCCGGATTGGGCCGCCAATCGAGGGAAGATCATGCTGCAACTTTAATTCAATCGCATTACAGGGGATACTTGGTATCACACACTGCCTCTTTTTGGAAAAAATATTTTTTGGTTTTTTCTTTTTTGGGTAGTTCAGTGGTGATGGCACTTACTCATTAGGAATAGAATTGAAGACGTTGGGTAGTTCAGTGGTGATGGCACTTACTCATTAGGAATAGAATTGAAGACATTATAGTGCGGCAACCTACCACCTAACCTCCTCTTCTTAAAAAAAAAAAAA